CGTATACACTATTTGTTTGCAGCTATGGCTGTAAGATAAGAATCAGATGACAGACCAGGATAAAAGCAATAAAAAGGGGAAGACTTAATCATAGGTAAAACTGGAGTCTACACATTGATTTTTTCCACAGTGAATGAATCAAAATTACTTTGAAATATACACACAAGAAAACTTCAAACATGTTTCAATTGTAGAAAAAGGGGTGGGGGGCGGGGGGAAGCCTGTCTTGCAGGTGAAAGGTATTTAGACTGGCAGTGTCACCTTCACTCCCCCCGGCTCATCTTGCCAGACTGGTGATTCCAGTAGAAAAATGGGTCTTTAGAAGTAGGACCTGTACAGCAGCAATCTGTTTCAGGGCTGTCTATAATGTTCCTTGTCTAAATATTTGTAGGAGAAATTAATAAAGCATATGCCCTGAGGGCTCGGGCAAGCCGGGGGGTATTTTTAAGAGGGGAGGGCTGGAGCCAGGAGGCTGTGCAGTCAGCCTCCTGCGGCCGCTGGGAAGCTTTCTCACTGGGAACAAAGGCTCTGCCCTGCTTTACGCGTACAAAAGGCATCACGAGGCGTTTCATGTGCACAGAGAGGGACCCAGCTTTCAAATGAGACACCTGCCAGAAAAGAGGGGCAGAGCGAATGACGAGAGAGTGGCTTGTTCTCCGTGGATCCGTCATTGTCCGGCGACGGGGGCATTTTATTAGTTTGTAAAACGCGCTCGGAGCTGGGCCAGCTTTCAAAGGCGCATATCTAATGGCATTGCCTCTTTGAAAGGGCGAGGAGGTGCCGAGGGAAGGGGAACCCGCTCACAAACGGAGCAGCCTTTTGATTTGCTCAGGGTTACAGCCGCGCAGCTATTTTCTAAGGAAAATAACCTGACTCCGTTGATCAAGTAGATGGCACTGTGATATCAAAGCTAATGAGGAAAGACAAGAAAACGAGCGAGGCATAGATAAAAGTACAGGAAGATGAATCTCGATGATTATTATGTTTTAATGTAAAATAGGGGGTGTAAAATTACCAAAGAGGAGTTTTTTTCTTTTCCCTTTTTTTTTTTTGGTGGAATTCTTAGAGAATTTTACACTTGGCAATTCAAAAAATCAAGACAGGAATGGAGCCTAAAATCACAGGGCTAAAGCTATCATGAACCTGAGGTGAGATCTTCATTCTAGATCCCAATTTCCAATTATTGTAGCTTGCAACTTCACACTGAAACTTTGTACTTTTCTGAACAGCATTTTCCAGCTGAACAGGAACATATCGTTTTCTTTCCTTTTTTTTTCCCTTACCTCTCTTTCTCTTTGTGCAGGTATGTGAAAGAATGAATGAGTGAACAGGGAAGACAACTATTTGGCAGATTTCTGTTTTGCAATGTGAAAGCCTCTTAGAAGTGACAAAGCTCAGACTTATAAATGACTGGAGTTAAGGTGCAGCTCATGCTGGTAAGCAGTTTTTGGTGGGAGTTACAGTGGGTTGGGCATCCCTGGTTCACAGGGCTTAAAATGATCCACGCAGATGTCTAGGAAGGAAGGAACAGGCACCAAACTTGACTCAATCCGTAAATCACTGCCTAGGCATGAGTCCAACCAATGCTGGTGACGTGCCTGCGTGCCTGATAATCCTGCCATTCCCAGAGAAATTAATCTGGCAAGCGAATCCTCATATATGATATGAGGAGTCCACTGGAAGGCATGGTTAAAAACAAAACTAACTGCTCACAGAGAGAATTTACTCAGAAAAAAAAACAGGCTGTAAACGTGACATCTTCCTATACACAGCAGTGAAATTTATGACCAGAATCAAATTTTGCTTGAACACAGAGAATGAGTCCCTTCAAACCAACAGGGCTGCTCACTGCTGTAACTAAAGGTCCGAAATCTGACCCAAACTACAGTTTCTTCAGGAGAAGAGCCTCTGTCTTTATTCACTTCAAGCTGTAAGTAACATAACCTAATAAACCTTGCCCTAGTTACTGAAATGCACAATTTGTTCCTCTTAATTAGATGATTGGTACCATGGGGTATTTGTCAGCACATAAAATGCAGATACTTGTGTGAATAGGCTGCGGATAGACATCCTTTCCCATACCCAGCTGTGCCAATGAAAGAGGTTACTGACTCCAACAACTTGTCATCCTCTTCCTGCTGGAGACTGTCAGTGCACAGAGCTGCAGATAGAGCTGCTCATGTGCCTTGACTCGCTGCAGTCACATAGCAGCCCTGCTAACTTAGGCCTCCAACCTAGGGAGCACTAAAAGGAAGTGCAAGCAGCAACCTGTTTCACCAGGGCAGCGGGACGGAGAAGACGGCCGTCCTCTGGCTGCACTGGCCCTTTGCACAGCGGTAGGTGGAGGCTGGCAGGAACTGATTCCTTCTGATTAACGGTCTTACAAGCAACGGAGATAGAAGTTATACTGCAGCAAAAGTTAATGATAATGATGTGATCACCAGTCAAGAGCAAAGGCACTGAAATAGCACATAGATGTACTAATGAAATTCTTCAAAGCCTTATTAGCCTAAAAGATGAAAATGACTTTTATTCAGGAGGAAGGTTTTTTTTTAAAAAAGATTATAATATAGATAGTTTTCTGCATTTAATTTGCACAGCATTTTCTTAGGCAAAATAGATCCACAGTTTCATGAGGTATCAAAAAAAATGTACAGAGCAGAGAGCAGACTTATAAAGTAAGGATGTCCTTCAGGCTTAGATGATTATAATGGTGTAGAGTTTTTGCTGTACTTCAGTGGCATTCTGGTGGATTGAGATTCAGCCCTGTGCAGAGGCCAAGCATAAAACCTATGCACCATGTATGTCCTACTTAAGTTTAACACATCTGATTCTAATTCTATTGAAATAAATAGCAATATTACCATTGTCTTTCAGCGAGAGCTGGTTCAAGGTCAGTAAGCAGGAGTGTAACACTTGGAAATAGGAAGAATTGGAAAAAAAGTACTCGGCTAGTAAAAGCCTCAATAGTTTTGAAGAATATGCTTAAGGTACATGCTGGAACCAAAATGCTCACTTGTTCCAACATTCAAGAACTATTGGAACATTAAGAAAATTTATACTAAGAAGGAAGCTGCAGTATTACCTAAACCTGACTTCAGAAATCTTGTGTAATATGATGTGTAATACTGGCAAATACAGTCAAACCTATTCAGGGCTTCATTGTTATTATCATTATTCCTGCAATACTAAGAGAATTTTGGATACCTTAGAATACTAAAATTTCATGTTCTCTACTCCGGCAGCATTCAAAGAGTTTCTGTGCGTTTTTTTTTTTCTGTTGCATCATGTACCCTTGCTAGGTGGCATGAATAGATTACATCATTTATGCATCTCAAAAGTCCCTGCACAGAAGCTCGTTTATATTTCATAAATTACAAGTGCTTCACAGCTGCCCATTGCAAATGCAAAAGCATTAAATAACCACGAGGCAATGGAGAGCTCTACACTCAGATTTTGTGCATCTTGCTGGTGCAATAATTATGTATTTTACCCCACAGCGTGCCTAGGCAAATAAACACGTGGTGGGATCCTTCTGGAACAACATTACACCAAGCTCTAAACCTTACAAGCTTAAAAACATGGTATGTGCACCCTCACTAAGTGACTTTCATAGGCTGTGAACTTACCCAAATGAAACCCAGAGTCCAGAAAAGAGGTGGAAAGCTAGGCCTACAGCACAGATTCATTTTTAACCTTGTAAGTTGCAGGAAAAGGTCATCTCAAAGTCTCAAAGACAGTTTTTGGTTTTTAATAATCAAAGTTCCTCTATGTTTTTTTCCCCATCGCTTCACATGACAAATTGCTAATTTCTTCCCTTACAAACTTTAAAAATGAGGAGAAACTTCAAAGAAAGGCCTTACATGAAGAATTTCAACACCTAAGTGTCCAGTTCAGGAAGATACCTTTGAAAAACTGAGGTTTAGTGTACTTAGTGAAGACAGATGACAACTACTCTAGTGAAATACCCACTAGTATTTAGTGGCTTCTCCGGAGGTAGGTAACAAATGATGGAGTGGCCTGCAATATCACCTCTGGTCTGCTGGGACAAATTTAGCAAAGCAGGGTGCAAATCAGCAAGTTTTTTGTCTGTTTGCTTGTTTGTTTTTGGTATAGCCCTGTCACTATCATAAAAAAATCCATAGGCCGGAACTCAGCGGCCACCAGGATCTAGAAGTGCAACTTGCACATTTCCCAGCAGTGCAGCACACCAGGGAACTGTGCATGAGGGGACCACGAAAACCTCCCACTCTCGTGCAAAATAACCATCGCTGCATCCTTACTGCACAGGCGAACGGGCAGTTTCTAATGCTTTTACAGCCTAATCTATCAAACACTAAAGGCGACAGGGACCTAAAGAAGTTATGTCATGCTCAAGCCTGGCGAATGAGATTGACTTGGCCCTTCTGCTGCATATAATTTATTGCTGGTAACATTTAAAATGGCCTTGCGCCATATAAAATGATCAGGGCAATATGTGGTCATCCTTCGTAGATCTTTCAGAATAATTCAAATCAGAGTTAAAACTCAAAATGAATGTTGACTCTCTTCAGAGATGGACAACCAAGAAGGCTGGATTGGGATATTAATTGCACAACAGCAGCAACAGAAATTGCCCTGCCTCAGTTTCCCTAACGATGAAATGAAGATAACGATAAAAGGAATGTATAGAAGGTTCCCCCTTTCCTGTCTAACGTCGCATCAAGCCGTCCGCTCGCTTTTGGGGGCATTTTCGCGTGTTTCACACCCCGCCGCCGCCGCAGCGCTGCCCTTAGAGGGGACTGCCCGCATGCGCCGACCGTTAAAGCGGCCCGCGTGCGCCGCCGCCATTTTGAGCCCCGCGGGGCTAACGGCCGCGCTTGCGCGCCCTTTTCCCTGCCTGCCTCCTTTCCTCCCTCCCTCCGGTGGCGGTGGCAGCGGCTCTACCCGCTCCGCAGTGGCTTAAGGAGGGGGTAAAGCCCGGGG